AACTACGATGATCTTTGATGCAGTTCTAGTCAATATAAGCATGATGCAACATGACAAGGCATGATAAAATAGACAGGTCTTTGTGCCGAAGTAGCCAAACTTTAATTTCATGTTATCCATTATAGTTGTGAGCTACAATTTTTAGATTTGATGAGATGTGGATCCAATCCACTTGACATTAACAAGATTATGGATTTGATGTGTATAGCATAATCAACTAAAAACCAACCAATAATGTGTATTAGGGGTTGCACGGTTCTGTTTTTTATACCGATTTAGAAAAATTGAACCAATTTTAAAAAATGGTTTGATTCTTGAACCGATTCGAAGAAAATGGTTTGCTTCTTAAATTAAATTGAAAAAATATGGAGCAATTTAGTTCGCTTTGCTACTCGACTGAGTTTATTTAGTTTTTTCACACTCTTAAGAGTGAGTAGTTTGATTTTTAGCCCGAATCAATTTTGGAAGAAGGTTCGATTTTTGAACCAATTCAAAATAAAAAAATGGTTCAATCTTAAATTAGTTTGAACAATTATGATTCTTTTAGTGCGGTTTGGATTGTTTGTTTTAGTTTTTTTTCATACCCCTAATAAACATCAATCTCACAAGTTGAACGTTGTTCTATTTCGATCTTGAGAACTTCATACATATGGGTTGGCTTGTAAAGGCCCATTAAGGAGTCACACCTCTACTTCAATATATGGACCTCACGTGATCCTTCACTACCTACACATGTCACCCACTATGCACTTCCATAGTGGAGGTGCAATTCTTCACACTCAATAATGAGGTAATAGGCAAAACTGTTAGGTTTTCACTTTGTCTTATATCGTTAGGGAATATCTCCCACCAATATAAACTCATTTTATCTCATTGAAGAGTCATCTTGCATCTATCACTTTCATGAATGGTTACTCTACTAAATTCTAGAGTCACTAAGTGTGCCCTTACACATGCTCTCTTCTCTCAATCATACTTGATATGACACTCACGATGATTCTCTTAAAATTTTAGTTCATATCAATGCCTCATTAAACACCTATATAGCGAGATGAAGACCTAACTCTAACTCAAACGTATGGATGCGGTCTTGGGGTTTCTCTCTTTTTGGTAGTCTTTGCGGGTTTATTTTATGAGTTTTATAAAAGTTATGTTGTAGGAAAAGTAATTGTGTTATGTTATAGATATTCGTTTTCCGTGCTGTTTTTTTTTTTTTTTTTTTTGCTTAAAAAAATGCGAGCCCCATAAAATGTGTGTGTAGGAAACTTTTTGTAGTCATATTGCATGATGAATGCAGACCCTTATTTCATTGAATGAAAAACCGCAACTATAACATTAACAGCTAGGAGGGTGCTTTCTTTGTATTGAATAGTCTCCAAGGTGGCTCGAACCGTCAACCATGAGTAAATAATTTTCATTTGATCATTTGTTCACAATAATATTTTTTTAGAAAAAAAATATTTTCACACTTTTGGATTTTGGAGTGATTCTAAGTGTTTATTATAAACCATTAAATTTATCAGTTCATCTCTTACATAAATCATATGATCATGATAAATGTCTATTATGGATTTCCCTATGACTTTTAGTATTTTTCGATAATAAATGATAATTATACGATAAGTATTACACTTTATTATCTATATTAATTTTCATCCTAAATGTAATCCACATCAAATTAAAATTTTAGAATACTTAAATTTAAAATTTTATGAAATAAACAACTCCGACGAAACTTTTTTTTTTTTGAAAAAAGTTTTATGCAAAGAAAAATGTAATTGAATTACATAGTTAGAAAAATATAAAGGTTCAAATTCTAGAAATATCACCTGTAAAAAAAATCTAATTGTATTACTCCATTACTAAAATGGTTAGTGATCAGAACCAATTTTACCTGGCTGATTATGATGATTTTCCTTTATACAAATGATTTGATGTAACTTTAATTCATAGGTCTTAACTAGAATAAAGTTGGGGTGTACCTTCAAGATACTCCGACACTCAAGTCAAATTTTATGTGAGCAAGTTTATTCATGTAGAAAAAGATGTATACCTTGTATTCAACACACTTATATTTATAGTGAGGGAATGACATACTTGGGGGATGCACGTGCAATTAGTGAAGCAACAAGATATTTCAATTGATCCTTATGTGGGTAGCTGAAGTTCATTTAGCAAAGGAGTTGCATAAATAATATGGCTGAAGTATAATATAGTTTTTCTTGACTAAATTCCTTTATTGAAGATATCTTTCTTCCTGGTGAAAGCTTTAAATGTGGGCTTTATATTTCATTCCATATTAGTTATATTATAAGCTAAAAGTACAAAGATGTGATGGCCGAAGGAGGTTGATTGAGGATATTCTCTGATTATATAACCAAAAAAAGTACAAAAATGTCATGATAAAAAAATGTTATAATTGTATTAGCAATTTAAAAAATCAAAATGAAAAAAAAAATCTCTTTCGCTTTAACTGTCTTAAGTATTCTAAGGGCTCGTTTGAACGGACTTTCAAAAATAATATTTTTTTATAAAAGTTAAAGCTATTTAAATTTATTAAAAAATATTTAATTTTTAAAAAAAATATTTGACTTTAAAAAAAAAAAAACAAATTTTTAGCTTTTTTGTGACTTATGTTTTTTTTTAAAAAACTGGCATCCAATTTTTTGTTTTGAAAAAAAAATAACGTTTGAAAAGAAAAAAAAAAAACCCCTCCAAACATGCCGTAATCCTGTAGACTTTTAAATTGGACTATGTCTGCGGACCAGTCCCATTGGTGCCGTTCACGTTGCGCCATTTGAAAAGTATTCTACGAAGTGAACCCCTATATTTTACCTAATTAAAATATTTATTACTTAATATTTTATCTATTAATCGTTTCATTTTATATTTGTTAATTGATTACTTAATACTTCAGTGGAGCGATTTAATTCTTTAGACAAAAAAATTATTTATCTTTTTAGATTAGACAAAAAACTAGCTATGAGCACAATGACGAAGATCACACTCCCTGCATTTTCGAAGTTATCAAATGCCATGAATGACTTGCACAACACAAGTATCACAAATGCTACTATTGAAAAATAACAAAAAATAAAATACATTACTTATTTAACATGTTTCCACATTAGCTAAATTCAAGTTACTTATTTCTATTTTGTCTAGCAAGAACTCAAATTTTAATTCATAAATCATAACTATTCATTTAAGTAATATTATTAAGGGAAAAATAAATTTTATGCTGCACGAGATTTCTAATTTCATGTTATAGATATATTAAGTGTGAGAGTCACTTATTTAAAAAAATAAAAAATGAGTGTCACACTTTTTTATGATATATATATATATATAATTTATTTTCTTACGTAAGATAAGAAAAACAAATTTCTATTATTAATGGCTGTATTTTTGTGGAATTTTCATGTAGTCCACAGTTGATGATGCCGTGTCCAACGTTACAAAATTCAAAGAACCTACGCTCAAGACTAAGTACACGCGTGAAGTCATCAATAGAACATTTACGAGAAAAGTTTCTGTGTGTGCTGCAGGAGTACAAAAATACCATGGTCCCCTATTTTCACAAAAGAAAAAATTCACTTTATTTATTTTTTTATTTATATTTTCATCTATGTCTCCCATTTTTTAAAGTTGGACCACTGAATTTTTGTGCTATTGAAGCATAAACTTTTCTCAACATTTACAAGTCAGATCATTTTTATTTTTTTTGGTTTTCTATAATTATTTCTACCCATTTGAATGAGATTAATTCTCTCTGTGACATAGAATTGACCCCAAAGTATTTTACCTAGAAATTGGAAAAATGACTTTTCAATCATAATTGTATGCTCTTTGCAGCACATTCCGCTTATCATAGAATCCATCCCACAAATAAGATAGGTTGCAGAAGCCATCTGAAACCATCAATGGAATTGAATGACGTCATATTAAGACAACACAAGTAAGTCATGCTGTTACTATATAAAGAAGGCTCAAAACCAAAGTAATAAAGTATGATCATCTTCTCAATTTATTACTTAAGCTCATTTATCAAACACTAAATTGCACAAAGATCTAAAGCAACATTGCAACCATCTTGCGTTATATCACACCAGATCCCACTACAAACTTATTTCGAACTTTAATTGAATCAGACTTAATCGTGTGTGGTCAGACCTATTATTCTTTGGACGGATCATACAAGACTTAAAAATTCGATACAATTTTGTTTTATACTAGAAAAAAACTATTCTTATATTGTTGGAAAGTAATTTTCTTGCTTGTAGGCCCATCGATTTTCGTATTTTTTTTTTATTTTTTATAAATGAGTGGCCCCACCACATGATTATGATTATGTGTATGGTTGAAGAGAAAACATCCTATGCAACAATCTTTTTCATTCATGGGTTTTCTTGTATGCTTCTCGAAGAAGAATTTTCTTTGGTATGTCTATCATTGATGCATGTCATATTTTACTGATTATGTGACCCCTTATTTCCAGCAGATAATGCATAAAAGAAATTCTCTTCATTTCATAGACTAGAGTTTTGAAGAAAGTATTTTCCTGTGTTTGGAAACCACCTTTTATTGTAACAATATTCTTGTTCAAAGAAATGTCAAAAACAAATAATAAATTTTGATATAAAAGAATTATAAAACCAATAATTTTTATAAAGAAGATCAGTATGCATCGGTATAAATTAAGTCACTCTTATACCATTTTTTTTTACTGGATAATTTTATTTCAAAATTCAGCATTGGTTTGAAAGTTCCTATCACATATGTAGTAGTTATAAAATATTACAATAATCTAAACTTTTTTAGTATACATCAAATTTACATTTAATGCTTTACCAATCCAAATGCATCTCTGAGTTGACGAAGTCAAACACAAAAATTCAACGTAGACAAAGACTTCAGCATCATAAGGGAATCCAATAGTGTTTAATTTGATATATATCAACAACATCTTCCAAAACACAAGGACCAAGTTGATTCTAGCCATGGCTTCTTCTCTGCTACCCCTTTTGCTATGCTCACTGATTCTACTACCCTTTTGTGTTCTAGCCCAAACCAGAAGCCAGATAAACGTTGGGGATTCTCTTAAAGCAGAATCTAGCAACTCCACATGGGTAGTTTCACCTTCTGGTGACTTTGCCTTTGGCTTTCTACCACTCACAGACACTGATCTTTTCATTCTTTGCATTTGGTATGCAAAGATTCCAGACAAAACCATAATCTGGTATGCTAACACAGATAATCCTACACCAAAGGACTCAAAAGTTGAGCTTAATGCTAATGATGGGTTAGTGCTTACTGCTCCTGATGGTAACCAGTTATGGAAGACACAAGGCCTTAGTGTTGGGGTTGCTAATGGTGTCATCAATGACACTGGCAACTTTGTTCTTCGGGATGGTAACTCCAACAGTGTGTATGAGACTTTCAAGGATCGTAGAGACACCTTGTTGCCCTCTCAGATTCTTGAAAAGGGTGGAAAGCTTTCTTCTAGACTTATGGAGACAAATTTCAGTAAAGGAAGGTTTGAGCTTGTTTTTCAAAATGATGGTAATCTTGTGATGCATTCTATAAATTTACCATCTGGATATGCTAATGAAAACTATTATGAAAGCAAAACTGTTGAGTCCAATACATCAAGTCCTGGAACTCAATTGGTCTTTGATAGTTTTGGGAACATATATATTTTGAGAAAGAACAATGAAAAATACAATTTTTCAGAAGTGAGTGGAGTCTCTACCACTCAATTTTATCTTAGAGCAACTCTTAATTTTGATGGGGTGTTCACACTCTATCAACATCCAAAGAGTTCCTCCGGGAATCAAGGTTGGACCTCAATATGGTCTCAACCAGATAATATCTGTAGTTACAATGTTAATTCAGGTAGTGGAGTTTGTGGATACAATAGCTTTTGTACCTTGGGAGATGATAAGAGACCAACATGTCAGTGCCCAAAAAGGTACTCACTACTTGATCCTAATGATCCATATGGTAGCTGCAAACCAGATTTCATAATGGGATGTGCAGAAGATGAACTTAGCAACAGGCAAGATCTCTATGAGTTTGAGGTTTTGATCAATACTGATTGGCCTCTTGCAGACTATGTGCTTCAAAGTCCTTTCACTGAAGATGAATGCAGACAGTCTTGTATGGAAGATTGCATGTGTGCTGTTGCAATTTTCAGGTTAGGTGATCACTGCTGGAAGAAGAAGTTGCCACTTTCAAATGGGAAAGTTGATGCTACACTTAATGGTGCTAAGGCCTTTATTAAAGTGAGGAAAGATAATTCCTCCTTTGTTGTTCCTACAATCATTGTGAACAAGAATAGGAGCACTTTGATTATGGTTGGATCTTTCCTTTTGGGTAGCTCAGCTTTTCTCAATCTCATATTGATTGTTGCAATATGCTTGAGCACTTCCTTCATTTTTCAGTACAAGAAGAAGCTTAGAAGAGTTAGCAAAAGTGACACTGTTGCTGAAACCAATTTGCGTTGCTTCACTTATGAGGAGCTTGAAGAAGCTACCAATGGATTTGACAAGGAGCTAGGAAGGGGTGCTTTTGGTATTGTTTATGAAGGAGTAATAAACATAGGTTCCACAACTCGTGTGGCAGTTAAAAAGTTGAACACTTTTCTCTTGGATGAGGTTCAGAAGGAATTCAAGAATGAACTGAATGTCATTGGTCTCACACATCATAAGAACTTGGTTCGTTTGCTTGGATTTTGTGAGGCTGAAGAAGAACGGTTACTAGTTTATGAGTACATGAGCAATGGCACTTTAGCAAGTTTTCTTTTCAATGGGGAAAAACCAAGTTGGAAACTTAGATTACAAATTGCATTTGGTATTGCTAGAGGACTTAGATATTTACATGAAGAGTGCAACACCCAAATCATCCATTGTGACATAAAGCCTCAAAACATTCTCCTTGATGATTACTTTAATGCAAGGATTTCTGACTTTGGATTGGCTAAGCTTTTGAAAATGAACCAAAGCAGAACCAATACTGGCATAAGGGGAACAAAAGGGTATGTTGCAATTGAATGGTTTAGAAACATGCCTATCACAGCTAAAGTGGATGTGTATAGCTATGGGGTATTGCTACTTGAGATAATAGCATGCAGAAAAAATGTAGAAATGGAGATAGAAAATGAAGGGAAAGCAATCCTAACTGATTGGGCTTGTGACTGCTATGCAGATGGTAATTTGGCTGCCTTGGTTGAGAATGACAAGGAAGCATTGGATGATAAGAAGAACTTGGAGAGGTTGGTAATGATTGCCATTTGGTGTGTTCAAGAGGATCCATGTCTTAGACCCACCATGGGAAATGTGACACAAATGCTTGAAGGTGTTGTTGAAGTGCAAGTTCCACCATGCCCCGCACCTATTAGTATTCAATATTCTCTAGATTAATCAGTTGGTGCTAGTCCTTGGTATGTTATCTTATGTCTGTGTATTCAGTTTTAGCTTTATGTTTGTTCCTTCAGCATTAGCACTATAAGTTTATAAATAGTGAGAGCAATTATGAATCTGTTTATGATGCTCATAAAACTTTGATACATGTACCTCAATTTATGTTAATATACTCTATGTAAACTACATCTGAGAGATATAATATAAAATTATTAAAGGTTCATTGCTTATAAACTTGAACTGTTGGGTGTGATGATTGCTTTATCATGATATCAGAATTTCTGTAATTACGGGGTCATGAGTTTAATCATTATAACCCTCCACTTTCTAGTGGAATTAAGTTAACACCCTGATGTATTGTTCACTCTTTAAGTCCAAATAACTCTTGCGTGATAGAGTGTGTTAGAGAGATATAATATAAAAATTACTGATGAACTTTCACGGAATAAGTTTGAACTCTTGGGTGAGATAGTTGCTTGTGTATAATAATGTCAAGTGCACAACAAAATCTCAAAAGCATGGTATTCGAGTACAATGCTTGTTTAACCAAAACAGATTCAAGAAACAGGGCATATAATCCTCCTAATTAAACAATCATGTTATAAATTCAAGTGAGCTAATGCATAATGTTTTGATTGATTTATAATTAATAATTCAAATTAAACGTATATATTGTTATTATCAAATTAAAATACAAATTTTTCCTTAATGGAAATTATCTTTGACAGCAGTTTTCTTCATCCTTCTCAATTTATTCAGAATTATTATCCCCTAATTTTTTTTTATCAATTATCTTATTATTATTTTTTTAATCCAAATCTATGGGCTAACCTAAATTATTAGGGACTCAAATGAAATACAGAAATTAAGCTCCCCTAATAAACATTCCTTTTTTTAGTTCTGTTTCTGGAGAAAAATTATATTTATATTTTATTTTTATGCTTAAGAAGAATTTTTGAAAAAAAAATGTTTCATAACATAATTTATTTATATTTTAACTAAGAGATAATATATATTTAATAAATGATTAAAAAAGTAATTTGTTTTTAAATTTCTTCACCGATTCATTGATTAATCAACTAATCCGATAAAGAGGGTAGAACGACAAGTGCAGGAAAACTCTTTATATCAAATTTTTAACACAATTATTTTTTATTTATATCATTTAATGTTTCTGAACTACCGGTTTGTTCCTAGAATATAAAAATAAACTAATTTTATTAAACACTATTTTAACTATTTAAAATAAGAGTTTAATGTTTCTACAGTCAATAAAAATAAATTTATCTTCAGTGAACTTAAAATAATATCATTTTGAGATTGAAATATTAAAAAAAATTATAATAATAAAGACTAATACAACACTAAAATAAATTAGAATTATAAAAATATATTTTTTCAACTCTAACTCATTGGAGATAACTTATTTTTATTTACGGGACAAACATTAAACCTTTAAATTAATTATATTGTACAACTATCTGACTCTATTAAACACTTTGTTAAAGTAGGAAGTGGATTCTCACACATGTTATTTAACGCAATAATGTCACTAATAGGATGTAACTATTTATTCATAAATTAGTGTTATAGAAATAAGATGGACCCGGAAACCAATGAATCGTTTATATAATTGACCCGATTTCGGCTATAAAATAGAACGGTGTGACTCTGCCGGCTTTAATAAAAATTGATGAACCGGTGACCCAGCTTAGTTTATAAAAAATAATAATAATTTATTTTTATCAATTGATTTTTATTTTGAAGTATTTAAGTAATTTGTTGTTTATGTATCTATAACATTAATATTATCTTGATTATATAATATGTAGAAAATTTTGATTTAATTTATAATTAAAAATATCATCTACTAAACTTGAACCACCAGTATTACTAATATTATATGTTTGATTGATGTTTTGTTAAACAATTATATGTAATTGATTATTTTTCATATTAAAATATTAAACATAACGTAACTTAAATGTAGAGATTTAAATTTGAGGAAGGATCCGTTTACCAAATTTTTTTTAAATTTTTTTACAAATTATACTATGTTCTCTCGGGAGAACATAGTATAATGAGTGTTCTCCCGGGAGAAGATAGTGTAGTTTGTAAGAATTTGTAAACAAAAAAGTTTGTAAATATAATTTACCTCTTTAAATTTTTTTAATGAATTTTATTTTTAATTTCTAACTTGTGAGAACCAATAAGAAAAAAGGGTACAATTACATAAACTTAACATATAAATAAACACAAACGCAGTTTATAAATGACTAAGTTTAAGGGAAATAATAATCTATTTGTTGAATGAGATTATTATGTTATATCAAATTGAATGTGGACCATTTTAAATTTTTTCGTTTAAAATTAGTGTCTATATTTCAGGCAAAAAAATTTATTTAATGTTTTTTAATAAATTAATTACGCATTTATTATAATTTTAAAAATAATTACACATTTATTGTACGACGCCCATTTTGGACGTCACCAATGACGTCTAAATTGGGCGTCACTCAAGAGGCTATCACGCCTAAATTTGGGCGTCACTTATCAGGTGTTGACACGTGTCATATTTTTTTTTTCCAAAAAAAACAATAATTTAATCATAAAACTTCTGAAGGCCATAACTTTTGACTCAGGTATCCAAATCAGGTAATTCTTTTTTTGATTCCACATAACTTTTCGAGATCTACGCAATGACATCTCATTTGATATATTTTATTTCTCACAAACATAATTTAAATTTGCAAGAATGATATTATAAGAGCGGTTAAATCCAGAAGCCTCTGAGTTCTGGGTTTGTGATTTAATATAAAAAAATAAATAAAGATTTGATTTGTGATCTAAATTAAAAAAATAAATAAAGATTTGATTTCTGATTTGATTCGTAGTCTGAAATTAATGATGACTTATAAATATTTTTCAAAAATAAAATCTTTCTTCCTTAGAGATTTAGAATATTTATTTTATTATTTTATTTATTAATACATATTTTTCAAATTGATTTTTGAGTTTAAATCACAAATCAAATCTTTATTTTGTTTTTCTTATTAATAATAATTTCTATTTTTAATTTAAATCACAAACCAAATTTTTTTTAATAAAAATAAAAAAATTTATTTTTTTAATTTAAATCACACATCAAATCTTGATTTATTTTTGATATTAAATCACAAACTCAGAACTCAGAGGCTTCTGAGTTTAAAAATGTGACACGTGCCAACACGTGTCAACACCTGACACGTCACCAATCACGTCTAAATTGAGTTTCAATCAAGAGGCAATCACGCCTAATTTAGGTAATTTTATTTTTGAAATACATTCATGAGCCATCATTAATTTCAGACCACGAATAATAACCCAGAAGCTTATAACATTAATTGTTAATTTAAAAAATAATATACTTCTTCCTTAGAGATTTAGAATATTTATTTAAGTATTTCCTTTATTTCTACAGATTTTGCAAATTGATTTTTTAGTTTAAATCACAAATTAAATCTTTATTTTGTTTTCCTTATTAATAATAATTTTTATTTTTATTTTTATTTAAATCACAAACCAAATTTTTGTTATAATAAAAAAAATTATTATAAAAAAAATTTAAATCACAAATCAAAATTTTATTTATTTTTTTATATTAAATCACAAACCCAGAACTCAGAGGTTTCTGGGTTTAACCGCTCTTATAATACCATTTTTGCAAATATAAATTGTGTTTGTGAGAAATAAAATATGTCAAATGAGATGTAATTGCGTAGATCTCGAAAAGTTATGTGGAATCAAAAAAAGAATTATCTGATTTGGATACCCAAGTCAAAAGTTATGGCCTTAAGAAGTTTTATGATTAAATTATTATTTTTTTGGAAAAAAAAATATGACACGTGTCAACACCTGATGAGTGACGCCCAAATTTAAGCGTGATTGCCTATTGAATGACGCCCAATTTAGGCGTCATTGGTGACGCCCAAAATGGGCGTCTTATTGTGCAATAAATATGTAATTATTTTTAAAACTATAATAAATGCGTAATTAATTTATTGAAAAACATTAAATAAATTTTTTTGCCCTATATTTCATTTGAGCTCACAACTATATTTCATAAATCACAGAAAAACAGAGTAAAAGCTCAGTGCATTTTGTGAGCACGTTCTAAAAGTTTAATCGTTCGCTCGAAGCAAGAGGCAACTTAGTGAAGGTTTTGTTCGGAAACCCTAATTCTTGAGCATGTTTTGATTTCTTGTTATGTTATTACTTCAATTTCTGCAGTTATTTCTTCACTTTCTTGTTTTATTTTGGATTTGGATTTTTACTTTTTGTTGATTGTCGTTTAGGGTGCCAATATTATTGTCCACATGGGTGTGTTATGTTTTTTTTTTTGCCTATTTAACGCTGCGTAAAGAGAGAGAGAGAGAGAATGCATTGAACATTAGAAAATTCTTTTGGCCTCCAAGGATTAGGGTAGCAAAGAATTTTTATGGACACAGGAAAAAAAGATGTTGTGGAAATCACATTTCAAAACTAACAACTTCAAATAATAATAATAATAATAATTAATTTCTTATTTTGCTAAATACAATTCTATGTATTTCTTTGTTAGTAGAGTTCATTGAATGTACACATATAGCTCTAATAGAGTTTATGTTATTGTATTAACAGCTATTCTTGTATGAGCTTTTGGATTTTTTATTTTATTTTTAATTAGAAGCTACTTATAAGTTAAAACTAAAAAAAAAAATTAAAAGTTATTTGGTGATTACATGAAATTTTTAGTTTAAAAGTTACTTAAAAACACATATTTTAAAAAAACTCCCCCTCTCTATTTCTATAACTTTTTATTTCAAAAAACACACAATTCAAGAAAAGTAGCTTAAAAAAAAAAACTTCTCCTAAGAGTTTTTGGCTTTTAGCTTTTTTCTTCAGAATAAAAAAAAAACTTTTCATTGTAAGAGTTTTTTTCAAAACATATTTAACCTAACTTTTGCTTATAAATAATCTCTAACTTAAATAAAGAGAAAATTCAAACTCGCTTTGAAAATGATCACTTTTAAATTTCAAGAAGCTTATAACTATTAACTAGTCATGATTTAAGTTTTCCCCTTTTAGCAAGATAGGGCAAGGCAGTGATAATTTTTTTTTCTCAATAGTAGATAATAAAATACCCAAACCCCCCATTGTCTTCCATTTGAAACTCTCTTTTAAGGAGGGGCAAATTGATCATTTTACTCAAATTATTCACAAACAAAAAGACCACACCACTAGGGTGCTAAACGAACCAGGAGTCTTTGCCTCGGCTCGCGAAGGCATGAACTTACATGTCTAAAATTGGTTGTTGGCAGCAGACTTGAACATGTATAAAAGTTCGTTTAATAAAAAGGTCTGAGGCTCCAATTCAAAAGCTCGGCCTTAGAGTCTCTCATGCTGACCTAGTATATTATTATTATTATTATTATTATTATTATTATTATTTTATGTTTTTTATACTACTTGTAATAACTCTCTCTTTCTCTTCAATCCATTTCACCCCATTTTATTGGTTAAACAGACTTTTTGAATGATTTTGTTCTATATTATGTTGTTTGGATATACATTGAATTTATAAATATTTATGGAATTACTAGTGTTGTTAATTCTATATTTTGTTTGGATGAATTTTTGTTATTATTTTTTTAAACAGGATAAATCAGGCTTTTATTTTTTGTAAATAAGCCACATGGCGATAATTATATTTATAACAGGTCTGTCTGACACATTTTGACACAGGCTTAGCCTCTTAAGACCAAAGTTCGGCTCGGCTCGCCCGTTAACACCCCTACACACCACCTTACAAGTGATGAATCTTCTTCCTTCTCCATAAACCGTCGGCCACCATATCTTATTCTTCATACTTCTTCGCAAACACTCGATTTCTCCCAAAGCCACCTTCATCTTTTCACCACTAATGTGTCTTTTTGACATTGATAGCATATATGTGTATACCCCAAGAGTCGACGCAGGTAGTTACACTCGATGGTATCATAGCTATTTCCCAACGGGAAACCTATGGTGATCTGATCTTTTGTATTGTATTATATATGTGTTTGCATAGGGAATAGTCCAATATGGAACATTATTTTGCATGGTTGAGTATTATGTTGTGAGGTGTGAACTTGATCAACTCACTGCAGTGTATGATGTGTGCAGGATCATGGTAAACAGTAGACGTACACCGACAACTCCAGATGAGGGGGTTGACCCTATGAAGGCTGCTCTTATTGGCATGCCCCAGGCTATACGAGATCTAGTCCAAGAGCTAAGAGCAGGTAAAGTTGATAGGGTTCAGGACTTCAATCAGCAAGGGGCAAGACCAGCAGTTGGTGTTGACCAACATTGGTTGATAGAGTTCAGGAAGCATCAGCCTCCATCATTTTTGGGAGAGTATGACCCGGATGCGGCCGCTAAATGGCTGCGCGACTTGACCAAGATCTTTAGAGTGATGGAGTGTTCTGACTCGCAGAGGGTAAATTTTGCTACTTACATGTTGCAAGGAAATGCTGATTGGTGGTGGGATGGTGTCAAAGCCCAATTAGAGCAACAGGGGACCGAGATTACGTGGCAGGTATTTGAGGAGGCTTTTCTTAACAAGTATTTTTCCCGGGATGTCTGTAACACCCCGTATATATCCGGTAATGTTATCATACTATCGTATTAAGCAGCGCTTAATTAAAAATGCGGAATATCTTTTTCTTTTCAATTATGATGACATTATCGTTACCAACTTGCTTATTAAACATTTAATAAAACATCGCCTGTATGTAATTGCAATAAAATAGCTATCCGAAATACCTCATAATATAGATAATAAAAGTGTGGCTCTAGTCACGGAACTACAACAACATAGACCGGACCATCTAATAGTTTATACAACTCCAAACCAAAAGCACTAACATAAAGTGTCATCGACAATCCTCATGCTCAATCAAATAAGGCAACAGGCCCAACATCAGTCTCAACAACAACATAATCATAAATAATGGAAAACATAAACAGCATCCATATCCAGTCATGGCAGCAAACAACATAATATCATCAACTAAGCTCTGGCCTCCTGCCGCCAGAAGCATCAGTCACCAAACTATCGGAACCTGAAATAAGCATTCCCCAAACGTGGGGTGAGATCTCTAAACAAGAAATCTCAGTAAGATAAAGGGTCCTCAAGGATCTTCCACCCCAAGCTCACTTACATGTGCAATATAAGTTCAAAAGCAGTTATCATCATCAGTTCTAAAATAGTGCAATGCAGCTGATAATCATGTCATGTGTGTCAATTCTATTCTACTGGCCAGAGAAATACAGGATTTACATACGCAAAATACCCACACTAGTGCAAGACGCTACTTGTATTTACCCTGGATCACCATATTGTATGACACCACATACTCAGGCTCACCGTCAAGATGAAACAACACATGCATATTAAAAGTCCTTACACATAAAGCTCAACAGCATTTCAAATATTCAAAGCATGTAACACATCATGCATACAACCACACCCCCATGGGACATGGTGGAACCACAACGTGGCTAAACCGAGGACACGAAAGCTTACCTTGCAAGCTAACTCCAACAGCCAAGAGTCCACAGCTCAAAGTCCAAACACAGCAGATTCACAATCTGTTATGGACCAATACTATATCAATAATAATGCAACACAAACATATAAATTAAAGACAACGTCTTTCCTTACGTTTTACGTCTTAAGGCTCCATACCAAGCCATAAGTCCTTAATTACAACGATTCTGACTTAGTTCATTAATTACAGAAGTTCAACTTCATCAATCTAAGGTCCACCAACCCCCAATAGCCTACTGTACACACAACACAGCTACTGTTCTACGAAATCCCAGAATATCTGGATATCCCTCGGGACCATATCCGGATATGCAATATCCGGATATCCAGAATCCCATATCCGGATGTCCAAATCCCATATCCGGATATCACATATCCGGATATTGTTCGGGCACATATCCGGATATTTCACAACAGAATGCAGAAACTGCATTTCGTGAAGATATCCTTCCAAGGTTGGGTTTTTACCGATTTTAAACACCTAAACATGCATTTCTAGGTGTGTTTGACCAACCCCAACATTAAGTTATCATCTTTTAACCTTTACATGCATCAAGGTTCCATTTTTAAGCTTAAAGACTCAAGATCAAAGGTGATAAAGCTTACCAAAGCTCAAACTCAGAAAAAGGGTGCTCTTGGAGCTCACACAACAGCTCCAAGGTTCTGACTTCAAGGGTGCACGAAAATGCCTTCACAAAGGTTGGTTCTTTCTCACCAAAGGTCACCACTTGGACCTCAAAATGCCATGACTATGGCTTTCAACACCCAAACCACCCAAAACCAGCACCCTCACCCACACACAGAGGATGGAAACTCAGAATACACCCTCACACTTCCTCACCATGCATGTTCTTAAGTGTATACAAGCTCAAAGAGGGAAGAAATCAAGTAAAGGTGACAACTTGAGTTCAAAAATGGTGAAAGGAGGCAATGGAACAGTAAACCACCATCAGCCCACCAAGTGCTTCACGTAGGAATTCTGGTATGCCTAGGATTATGTGCTAAAATACATATACATAGTCACTTAGCCAATTAACACACAGTATTAACTTTAATTGCTACGCTTAGCATTTTAATCCCAAACTTTGGAATCTGAAACTACACATTTTTTCAAGAATTATCATATTTTTCTTATAATTTTCTGAGCACCTTTCCGGTACGCGCTTTTACAAGCCAGTACCGGTTTCTAGCACCAGTTCTCATTTTTTGAACTTGAAACTTGTTTTACAAGTCCTACATATTATTCTAGTAATTATCATGCACTTACATTAATTTTTCGGGATACTTTTTCGGTACGCACTTATACCGACTAGCAGAATCGGTATCTGCACTTTTCTTCCGAAAAGCGACTTTCAGCATTATTACTCACTTACTATAATTATTAAAGCCTCATAATAATTATTAGGGTCAATTATGGAATCATTTCCTAATTTTGCATAATTTATTAATTAAATTCCTTAATTAACGGTGCAGGTTCTTACAATGTCCGCGAACAGAAGGAGATGGACTTTGGTGCACTGAAGCAAGGAAGCATGACTATTGACGAGTACACAACAAAGTTTGAAGATTTGGCCCAATACACCAACGAGGGAAGAAGCAGGAGCGATGAGCAATGGTTGGTTTCAATGTATAAGAGGAACTTGAGGCCAGAGCTGCAATTTAAGCTAGTTGGCTTTCTAATTAAAGACTTGACCACTCTAATCAATACCTGCATAGTCCTAGAGCAATGGGAGGAGACAAAGAAGGCTAGGGTCAGTGGCCCCGATAGAGATGAGCAACATAAGGGGGTAGGTCAGGTCAAGGGCAAAGCCCTCCAACTACAGGTTCAGGGAAACAATTAAGTTTAAGAGGGATGGAGGCCTTTGGAGCCAGAGACCGGGAGCTACGAGATATCCCCGTTGCAGCACCTGCCGGAAGGACCACCTGGGCGAGTGCAACTTTGGCCAGAACGTATGCTATACGTGCGGCAAGCCAGGACACTTGTCTAAGGAGTGTACCCAGGGAGCGGATCCTTAGCCTACCTAAAGACCACAGATTGGAGGAAGAGTCTTCACTCTCAGTTACTCAGGGTTTGTGTTATTTAATCACTATTGTGCATGTTACAAATTGTTGAACTAATGCATGTTTGCACAGAGTTGAAGTTTAAATATTATTATAATTGTGTATTAATCTGATACAAAGAGGTCTCTATTTATAGAGACTAAAAAACCTAATTCTTGACCTAATGGGCTTGGCCCAATACAACAAATACTAATAATAATAAAAGACCTAATATTTACAACACTCCCCCTCAAGCTGAGGAATAGATATTTATCATTCCTAGCTTGCTAGTAAGTTCTTGAAATATGTCTGAAGGAAGTCCATTTGTCAATAGATCAGCAATATGAGATTCAGGACTTACCAGTGGTTCAGACGATTGAGGTTGCTGCTGAGGCAATGTGGGTTGTTTCCTTCTTTGATATACCAACTCAGGTGTCATAATCTTTCGTATCTCTGGTGAACTTGATGTATCAGTCACAGGAGGATCACTAAAAGGAGGATCAGACACAGAAGGAACAGGAATAATAGGGACAAAAGGAGGATACACTGACACAGGTAAAGGAGTAGACACTGAAGACTCAAAGAAGGGAAGTGATGAGCTTTCTGGTGAAGGATTCTCCCCCTGAAGATGAGGACATTGGAAAAAGGACTCAGATTCCTGAAATATAACATCCATAGAAACAAAAAGTTTCCTACTACCAGGGTGACAGCACTTGTAGCCCTTCTTATCGGGAACATAACCAAGAAAAACACATTTAATAGCCCTAGGGTCCAACTTACTGCGATGATGTTTATGAACATGAACAAAAGCAACACACCTAAACACTCGTGGAGGAAGACTCATAGTTGGAATAGAAGGGAAAAAAGAAGTTATAGAGTGAATATGACTTACATGGTCAAGTACCCGAGTGGGTAAACGGTTGATCAACAATGCTGTAGTAAGAATAGCATCTCCCCAATAGTATTTGGGTACATGTGTCTGAAACATTAATGCACGAGCCACTTCAAGAAGGTGACGATTTTTTCTTTCAGCAACCCCATTCTGTTGAGGGGTGTCAACACAAGTAAGTTCATGAATCATACCGTTATTTCGTATAAATTGAGAAAAATTGTGATTAACATATTCAATACCATTATCTGTTTTTAGTGTCTTGATTTTTTTACCAAATTGGGTCTCAACCATTTTATAAAATTGAAAGAACAGATGTGGTACCTCAGACTTTTCACGCATTAAGTAAACCCAAGCTACACGAGTGCAATCATCAATAAAAGAAACAAACCATCTATTTCCAGAAGCATGAGGGACTTTAGAAGGACCCCAAACATCAGAATGAATAAGATCAAAAGGTTCAACACTCTTAGTACTACTAGAAGGAAAAGACACACCATGATGCTTAGCAAACTTACAAACATCACAATGAAAAGACTCAACAGACTTAGACAAAAACAATGATGGAAATAAAGACTTGAGTAAACTAAAAGGAGGATGTCCTAAACGCTTATGATGAAACCAAATCAAAGAATCAGCAGTTGATTGACCATGAGACATGAAGATGTGATCTGTTACTTTATTTGTGGGAGATTGTGACACCAGATAGTACAGCCCACCTTGCTCTTTAGCACTACCAATCGTCTTCCCCATGGTGAGATCCTGAAAAACACAATGGGTAGGGAAGAAGGTTACAGTACAATTCAAATCTTTTGTAATTTTATGAATAGAAAGAAGATTCGTGGAGAGTTTAGGAACATGAAGAGCATCTTTAAGATGTAAGGACTGTTGTAAGTTTATGTCACCAGAACCCGCAACTGATGTATGTGAGCCATCAGCTATGGCTATTGTATGGGTTCCAATGGTAGGATGATAAGAAGTAAAAGAGTCAGCACAACAAGCCATATGATCAGTAGCACTAGAGTCAACAACCCAAGAATGTTTAAAATCATTACATGAAGAAAGGAAAGAATGAGTTTTGGAGCTCATACCGGTCATAGCCAAAGCACTAGTATCAGATGGCTTACTCAGATAATCAAGGATGGTTCGGAACCGTTCCAATTCATTTGGACGAAATACATGTTGGGTCTCATTAGGTGCAAGAGTTATTTCAGAGGAAGGAAAATGTGCTTGACCACGCATCCTTGCCATTTTTTCTAAGACAGTTTTCTTTCCATGGAGGCGAAAGCATAAATCCTTGATATGACCTGTTCTTTTACAATAAGAACACCATCGATCATCTCTCTTAGGTCTAGAAGATGCACCATCGTAAAACTTTGTAAAGGAACTCCCTTGAGAAGAGGTCATACTGCACAAAAAATGGTCAAAGAAAAGCTCCAAGAAGCCAAAAAAAATACGGAAAAAATACCAAACGATGTCCGATTTGAGAAAACAACACAGATCCAAAAAGAAGACAAGGAGACGAGAAGAACTGCACTGGTCCGCCGCCGAGAACCACCCCCACGCGTCGGTGGAGTGGTCTGCGAGTGGGCTTCACGCGCTGAGAAAAAAGTGGCGCGTGAGAACGCTTGCGACGTTGGCCGGAGCTGAGCTTTCCACTGTGAGGTCGTCCGGAGGTGGCAGTCTCGTCTGTGGTTGTTCGGAGTTGAAAGGCGGCCGGGAAATGGTCAAACGCGATGAACATGATGCTTTCTTCTTCAAACGCGATGAACTGGATGTAATTTTATGAATAAAATCTTTCTTCGTTTGGGTGCTGATACAAAGAGGGAAAATAAGAGGAACAATGATCTTCTCGGTCCAAGAGGTCCCCGAAAAAAAGTTTTCGGTGGCGGCTGATGGCAGCGAGAGACGAAAAAAAAAAGAATAAAAGGTTTCATAGGCTCGGAAGCAGAGCCCTCAGGATCGAGAGCAGTGTTTTAAAACTCGGCTCGGACCGGCCGGGTCGACCCGGGACTCGGTGACCCGGTGGGTTCCCTGGTCCGAGCGGATAGTTGCACCGCTTCTGCAGTCAACCCGGATTGGACCGGTTGACCCGACCGAAACTCGGCGACCCGATTGACTAGGGTTAGACCGGTTATTGCTCTCTCTTTTTTTGTAATTTTTTTTTTTGTTAATAAGAACTTTTGAATTAAATCATATTCATATTTTATGATGAATATGATTAAAAGTAAGGTGAACACTGATGGTCTCATGATAAGGTATTTTAGATTAGTGCAGTTCGTTTATGTAATTTAGTTGCATCTTATAATGATCTCATGAAATTAAGTGGTGATAAACACTGATGGTCTCATGATCTCATCTCAACGCCGGACACTTTTTTTTTAGTGTATATTTCATTCATACTATTTGTTATCATGATAACAGTGACACTTTTTTCTTAGTGTATATTTCATGCATACTATTTGTTATCATGATTTAATTTATCTGTATCATGTCAAGCATAAAAAGTGCATTTAACTTATATTGCAATTTTAATCCAATATTAGGATATGGTTTAGAGCTAGAAGCTTAGAAGTATATAATATTTGCTATCATTGAAAATCAATTTATTTTTTGAAGCTCATTGATAGTTTTCTTATGTGAATTTTTATTAATATAAGTAATATTTTTATATTTTTAATAAGTGAACAGTAATTCCGGTTCAACCCGGTTGAACCAGTGACTCAGTGGCCTAGTACCTCGACCGGTTCGATGACCGGTCCGAGTTTTAAAACACTGATCGAGAGCTCTGATACCAACTTGAAAAGAGTAATCAGAAAAATATTATTATAATTGTGTATTAATCTGATACAAAAAAAGTCTCTATTTATAGAGACTAAAAAACCTAATTCTTGATCTAATGAGCTTGGCCCAATACAAAAAATACTAATAATAATAGAATAACTAATATTTACAACACTATATTTAAATGGGTGTTCAGTCGATTAGGAGGAAGTGGGGTGAGGGGAATGTGAAATTTCTTGAAATGGTGCCTTGTGAATGGATGAAATGATTGCTGTTATTGTATAAGGTCATAATAAATGTACTTTTGCATGTTTGGAAATTGGGGGTAAAAGGGGCTGAAAAATTTCAGGCCACGAAACTCGAGATACTCAGATGTTGTTTCTGAAGTAAATGGCTGGGAGAATCCCAAAAGGTTTTCTATTCTCTCCAGAAATCAATGGTTATGAATTCTTATATGTGCAGTTGTTGAATTCCATCAGACCTGTATTTGTTCTTATGAGTTATATGCATGTTGGACATGCGAAGAGAATTCAAGGTAAATTTGTATATTTGTGTTGTGCCAGTGTCCGGTGGAAGAGTATGGACATTCCTTTAGTTGACAATTCTGGAGGATGCCTTACGGTGATTGAGCTCATCACGTAGAGTCAACTAGGCACGCAAAATAGTTGGTAGATTCTATGTCTGTTTGCACCATGAGTAGTTGATTGTTATCCATGCTTTATACCATTGTATCATTGTCCTTTGATATGGTTGTGTGGAAATTCCCTATGGTTCTAACCTTTCTGCAGATTTCCTTTAAATTTTAAGCAACTATGGAGGTGTAACTGAATGGTGGTAAAGAAAGAACTAGTAGTTTCTTTAGCTTATTGAGATTGTTATCTCACCCTTTATGGGGTTTGTGGATTTCAGGTAAAAGGGCACATGAGGCTGAAATCGGAAGAAATTAAGAGTCTTGACTGTAACTCGATATTTATTCGAGTAAGATACTGATCTTTATGTTAATTATTTGGCTCTCTGCCTTGTTTTCCTGTTACAATATTTTACTTGAAATTGTAGACGAAAATTTTGGGACTAGATGATCTCACAAGAGGCAATGGGAATGCTTCGGGTAAGGTATGCTCTCTAGCT